ATCCCTTATTTGTATACGTTCTGGTAGAAACATGTTCACAAACTTAAAAATACAGTGCTGTGCCAAACGTGAAGATAATCCAAGATGGCTTCCATTTTTTTCAGCTTGACACCGTAGAAATTAAAAGTCATTTGTTACGTAATTATCATGACTTAAAATTACCTAATACTTTGATTACTGCTTTTATGCGCTTTGGGATTGATTTGTACAGTTTTTGGATGAATTCCAGGGATATTTCTGTCCTTATTGTGCGCATTGCATTCTCATAAATTACACGAGAGGTGATGTTGTGGGCTTGTTTCTGAAGTTCAATCTTAATTTTTCTCCAATCATTTTCAATGATATTAAGGTCTGGACTTACGGCTGGCCATTCTATGACATTTAGTATATTTCCTCAATAAGATTTTTCACCACACGAGCACGATGCAACGGAGCATTGTAATATGGAAACACATAGTCGTTATTCGGGAAATGGCGTGCCATAACAGGCCACACAAAGTTGTCAACAATGTCTATGTATTTTTCAACATTTATGTTACCATCTACAACAGTTAAAGTACCTGCCCCTTTGTATGTTACACAGCCCCAGATCATCAAAAGCCAATTGTTGTCCACGCCCTGGGTTCAGACACCGGGGGATCCATTCTTCACCGGGCTGTCGCCATACAAAAACATGGTTGTCCATGCCCAATTCAACCTTACACTAAATCACTAAATATCACGTTTTTCCAATAATCATCAACAGTTTGATATCTATTTAGTTTATACCAAACGCGACGGTTTTTAGGATTAGCTTCGCGAATTTTTATTTCTTTTTTCACAACACTCTTGTTTAAATTTTCCTCGTATACTTTTCTTTGCACAGTACGTTTAGAAATGGTGTCGGGTCTAAACTCAAAAAAAGTAATTGTAAAGAGTAAATGTGAGGAAAAAGGGGCATAACCCTTTCACACTTTCCGAGAAATGCCCCTTTTAATCAAAATAGGTAACCCGGAAGTAAAATGACGTCGTGAAAAGTATCTTCAATTTTGGCATGCACTGTAATTTGGTTTACTATCCTCATGTAGACCAACTGTTTACCTCTAATTACATAGAGGACAATAGTATACAATGTATATGAATTTGAATAACTACAATTGTATTATTTTTTTTAAACACTCATCAGATACTTACTGAATAGGTTCTGTACTTGAATAATATTGACTAAGAAAAGTTCTCTTATTTTGTCAATCGCTCATAACTTCAAAAGTAAGATAAGTGTATACCCTATTTGTCAGCTCTGTATCCGAAAAAGACAAGACGACACCAAAAAGTCTACAAAACCATTATTCGAACTTAAAATCGATGACACGAAATATGCACGTAACGAGGGTCTACACGAAGTCCCCGACAAAACTACCAGAAAAATATGGCTAGGTATCATTGTTTACGTGTAAAGTGATATTGATCATTTTGCCAACACATTCATTAGCTACATAGCACTCTCATGTGTGTTCCTTATAAATAAGATCACGCATACTAATATCATAACTTAATTACAGAGATATATATGATACACATATCGACACATTGTTTTTTGGAGGTGATTAAATACATTTCCAAAACCACAATTGACACACCAACCGATACATATGTATGTCATTGTGGTAGACTTAAAAGGATTTTTTCTATCGAGAAAATTAAATATTTATATAAAATAAAATAAAACATGTTATTTTTAAATGAAAGTGAGCTAACAATACTTATAAATTAACATACGTTTAGATCAGAATAAACGTATACAGTAGGTTGGCTATATACCTGTCAGAAATGTCATGTAAGGTTTTGATTAATGATATAGTATTACAACACCTTTCAGTATCAAAGGTTTGAAGTGTATTTTGGGCAGAGTTATTCAAAAGGTGATTACCGTAATTGTTTGTTTGTTTATGTTTAGAGCTCAACTATTAACCCAGTTCAAACGTTCGAGATAAGGGCGGAGTGTACTTTATATCTGCCTCTGTGCAGTTATGATTTATTCACATGTAATTGAGTGTTTTATAAATTCACAAATGTACGAAGGAACTGATTTATTGTTTAAATCAAGAGGGAGTATCAATATTTAAATAGCGGTGATAAGAAAGTGTATTTATAATTAGCTTCAGAATCTCATTCAGTAACACATACAAATCGTAAACGGTTCACACGTAAAATTCGGATTTTGTGAAGCTACTCACTTAATTTTTTAAAATATTTCCCCACAGACTAAGACAGGTAACATAATTCCATGTTTTATCGTATAAACTATGAAAATGGTTGAGCATCCAGCAAGATTCAACAGCTTAATGTAGATTTAAGATAAATCCGTGGCGACATTTCCCCGGCGTATCGTCATTTATTTCTGATGAATGAGAGAGTCGAAATGCCGATCCAAATTGAAAATGTGAACTCCAACATCATATTTGATTATGTCAGTATCTGATTTCTCAATCAGGAAAGTTGTTTTTGAAAAAAAATAAGAGCACCTGTTTTGAATGAACTTGTAATGAATATGTCACACTTTTAACGTGCTATTTATCAATGCGGACGTATTGCAAGAGGAATGGAAACATTCGCAGATATATCGCTTTATAATGACGTCAGTTACATATGGTGATATTTATTCAATATGTAATTTAGAAATAAACCTTCAAGATCCTATCGAAATATCACATATAAGTAGTAGTTGAGGACGTCGACCGACACATTAACGCAGTGCATATTTACAAAGTAAATTTGGTTGGTTCATTGTGCACCTATGTGGAATTAAAAGGAGATTAAAAGTAAGAATCAGTCACAATCGTATCAATTTATATAAGGTTTTGACTTGATAAGTCTGCCTATGGTAGCAGAATACAGTAGAAATGGCTTGACCCTAGAAATAAAGGGCATGTCTCGGATAAACATGGATAGCAGATATATCATGCACAACACACCTACATATATATATATATATATGAATAAACTTCATTTTGAATACGTTTTTTTAGTAGAATGAATATTTTTGCAAAAAGTGATTTCACTAGATTTGTGACTTGTGAAAACCATGGTTACCACATCAAAAAACGCCAAAAAATGCAAAAAAATAAGATTTTTAGCCCAAAATTTGCCCCACGCAAGTAGTATTTATTTTCTTAAAACCTGTCTTAAATTAAATATCACCTACTGCGTCACAGATACTCACGTTTTAGCATAGGTCGTCAAACAAGATTTTTCACAATATTTACACATATGATGAGTACAAAATTAGACTACATGAAAAGCTTGCTTTTGTTGTGTAGACACAGATTCGTTAATGGCCAAAAATGTAGTCTCAAGCCATATTCGATTTTTTTTAAATGTGAAGCCCACATAGTCCAATTCATCATGTATATGCTAAATTTGAGTTTTTCATTTTTTTATTTGATACATGTAATATTACAGGGGTTATTCATTGTACAAAAATATCGCCCATGGCCACCATACGCTACTGTACACTGCTACCTATGGTTATGACTATACACCTATTAACGTGTACACAGAGGTGTTCATCGTTTTGACTGTGCCAAGTTACTTTATACATGCTCTTTTGCAGTCGGTAGAACTAACAGGAAACAATGTCATTACAGGTTCCTCCATTAGAGATAAAAGTTGACCGGCTTATAAACCCGTTCATAGTTGGTGAAGCGACACCAATTCTGTCGGTTTCTTTCGTCTGCTAGAGAAGCATTGGTGTCTGAAAATTAACAACACGGGACGCAAACAAAACTGGAGGTTTATCGTTATTTCTTGCTTATTGCTCGCACTTCTACAAATGTCATGTTACGGGAATACAGTCTGCTGATTGCACTCTGCTTTTAACAAACTATTATACACAACGAATACCAATACCACTTCCCACAGCAGGTGCATGTGACTCCCACCTTGTCTCTTTTAGTGAGTAACGATGTAAGTAATTGTTTTTTCGATTTAATTGTGTGTTGTTTTACTTGCTTTACCTAACCTTGATATATATGGATACCTATTCTGATTTATACAGCCATGGTGACCCCTAGACTCTTACTAAGTTCTACAAAAAGACGATGAAACTCAGTACCGTTTATTTGAAACATTTTCGCATGCATATGCTCGGTGATAAAACGCGATGTATTTGTAATTTGTAGTGTTTTTGGATATATTTGAAGATGTGTAAGACTTTGGATTTAAAAGATTTCGCTTAGCCCGCATTTTTTAAAATAGCATTTTGGAAACTTTTCGTCACGTTACTCATTTCACCAGATAACCCGCAGAGGGCATGTTTTTCTAGGTGAAAACACATAGCCCGTGAGTTACACACAAGACTTACGATATACACATGGATATACATACAATACATATATCGGCAAAGAAGCATCGTTTGAGACCTATACATATGATATAATAGCGATAACTAGTTTGTATTAAATAGCAATAAACACTTTGTATTAAATAGCGATAAATAGTTTGTATTAAATAGCGATAAATAGTTTGTATTAAATAGCCTGAAGAGCCCCCAGATGGGCGAACACGCTAGCCGATTATACTAGTCTTCGTGTTTTGTTTTATTTATAGGATATGATATATTTATATTTACATATGTGTTAAAAGTCACCAGAAACAGAAAGAACATACCAAGTAGTCACCATGAACCCTTTTCTACAACACAAGCTTCATTACTTTATCGATGATGGCGTTAAAAAAAAAGAAAAAAAGACAACAGCGTCAAAACATAACGACAGAATGATAACTCCACGATGATAAAAAATGAGTACACATCAAAATAGAATACAATACGTGGTAAATCTGCAACAAAGGTCAGTTGTTTTAAAGAAACTCCTTCGTCACATTTCATGAACAACTAATAGCGAGAAGTGCAAATGTAATGACCTCTAACGTCAGCCAAAAAAGTTAATGCGAAATAAATTACGAATCTCGAGTGATTAGATAACGTAATATAAACAGACAATTTGTTATTTGTATGCAAACCCGCGCCTTCCATCTAAACCTTAACAGCGAATGATATACGAAGTCATATGAAATTATATGTCACACATGCAACTTACATAAATCTTTAATGCGGCAGCTTTTTCCATTGTCTTGTTGAAGTATATAATAAAGGAGAGAGGAAGAGAGGAGAAGCGCAGTCGATTGAAAGGCCGTTAAAAAGGTATGTGATATCTTTCAGAATTTAATTGTAGTTGGATAAAAGTAAGAATATTAGTTTCAGGTTGTACAAAGTGCGTAGTTATATTTAACATCAGCAGTTCTTGCAGACATTTGAAAGGATTATAAGACGATAAGGGATTTACTTGGAATGTCTGTATTATAAATTCATATAAGGACAGTATATGCATAAGTGAGCTTTCTGCTGTGGGGATATAAGCTTTGCATAATCTTTCTGATAATATAACATATACTATGATACATAACATAGTGTACTGTCTAAAATTTGCGTTTAAATTCGACAATGTTTCCAATCCAGTGATTTTAGGATTTTCCCCTTGTTGTCGCCGCCATGACCTCTTTTGGAAATCTGTTATTTTTTCTTGTGATATGAAGGTCGAATATTTGTAATATGCTGATAAGAGTATCTTGTGATTTTGTTGCAACTAACCGAGTTGTCAATGTGAGTACGTGACATTAGTTGAGTTTGATTTAGGTTTACATGGCGGGGGTAATCAATGAAAAAGAAAACTGTTACACTTCCGGAACAATCGGTCTTATTCTCCTTTAATTATTTTACTGTTTCCATGTGAAGCTTTTCTTTTTTCAGATTTGCTCTGATTTTGAGTTCGGATTATTGCTTCCTTCACCTTTCGGTATTCTATCGTCGTTATAACTTAAATTGGGTCGTGTTCAATATATTGTCAATGCGAAGTGTTGAATTATGATTGTGAAACATGTAAGAATTGTGTTTCCTTGAAAACAGTCTTATATACCTCAGTACGGGTTTTTTTAGCAACAAATGAAACAATGTTTATTTATTATGAATGTGTTGATAATACATATACTTCGTCTAGCATCACGTTCGCAACAGACTGAAAGAAGGGGCGCTATGTCGAGGTGTTACTGTTCTTTAAAGCAAACTATTCTTTTTTACAGGATACCACGAGGACAGCATGAACATATTCATGTACACGTGTGTGCTATGGTTGTTGTACATAGGCTTTAAAGGTGAGTCATATTATAAATATAAGAAGGGAATGGCAGAAAATGTACAAACAAAGGGTTTGGGTTAAGAAGTTTTATCTTAAGAACGTTATCTGTCGAGGACTACATCATCTTTACCCATTACATTTCTAAACATTTTTAAAGCAGCATGTCTTTACAATCATATCCTCTACATCATCTCGACCTACTACATTTCTATACCAGATTTATACAGCAAAGTACGTACAATTATACCACCTGCATTAATTAGTATTATTACATCTCTATACAAGATCCATACAAAAAAGTCTATGATTGTAAAGACAACGCCGCATTGATCATTTAAAAAAATGCTAGCTGTCGAGGTTATGTAAGTAATATAATTGTATATACATGTACATCGTTGTATGGATATTGAATAGAAATGTTATCTTTCGAGGTAGCATAGATGGTGTAATTGTATATAATATGCTGTATGGTTGTTGTTTGGAGGATTATCTGTCGAGGTTATATAGATGGTATTATTGTATATACATTGTTGTATGGATATTGTATAGATAAGTTATCTGTCGAGGTAATGTATTATATAATTGTATCGACTATATGGTATGAATGTTGTATAGAAAAGTAATCCTTCGAGGTAATGTAGGTGATGTAATTGTATAGACATTGCAGTATAGATGTGTATTATGCGAATACAAGTGAGACTTGCGAATATTCTCAGTCATTAGTTTATGCTCAGTACAAAGGTATTTGTGACCTATGAGATTAAAAGTAAATAGGGACACATATCTGAGTTTTTGACGGCCACATTATCATAATTAATCTAACGGATTACAATACATCGACTTCAATTTTGTAATTAAATCGTTTATGTTCAATCATTTTGATAGATGATATTATGAGTTTAGAGATGTTTTTTACAGCTTTTCGACTATGTTTCACTATAATGATAGACACGAATATTGCAAGATTTTAATTTCTTTTCTTTTCTTTTTGAACCTTTTTTAATTCCGACCTTTTGAATCAACATGAAAAGGAGACTTCCAATATATATATATATATAATAGGTATCTGCGTTTTTTTCGCGACTATCGTAATAATTTGTTCAAATAATAGCTAGAGTTATTTCTGGGAAGTCTTTTTCAACGAATGAAGCGGAAAGGTTTTTACTTATATGAGCAAATAATTAAAAGGTACATGCAGAACAAATTTATTTACATATGCAATTAATCAAGGTAGGGCAAAAATATGACATAAAAAAGTTTAATTAATACAATGTAACGCAGCTTTATTTACATATATGTTTACTGTATATGTCGACGAACATGTATCTAGTTAAGCTCTGACATTATTCTTTGTAGGAGCCGTAGGGTACGGAGAATGTGTGGTGTTTTGTGGTAACGGAAAGGTCCCTAACGCAACCGATGTGATGTTCGCCTGTATTAAAAAAGGGGACTGCTCTTACTGCAGATTCGCCCCAAACTGCTGCCCGGACCAATTGTCGTGTAATACACCCATATCGTCCCCAGACGAACGCTGCCTCGTCTGTCCAGGTCATTATCTCATTAATAAAGCAGCTCTCACATTGCATATGCATTGTTTAAATAATAATAGTTTATTTTTCTCACAAAAATACGGTGTTTTCTTGTAAAAATTTTAATTGGATATCATCATCAGGACTTTGTTAACGTTAGGAAATGTTTTTATTCGCTTAAGGCCTATTTAAAAAAATAATATATAGATAAATACTTTTTGAAAGAAATATGTTGAGAACAAAAACACAAAAGAATAAAAATAATGTCGACAAGACCGTAAAGCGAACTCAAAATCGATAAAACTGGGGTAAAATATTAACAAAGGATATATTTACTTTACAACACTTGAAAGTACAATGAACATAAGACCAGATGTCCCAGATGGGTAAGCGACTGCGTCATCGATGACACCTGTCATGTAAATCTAAGTTGAATAGAGGTAATGTCACGTGCTCACATCGAGAATGTGGATGGTGACAACAAAATAAACCCACAAGGCACTCAATTAACATAGTAAACAATCGACCTTCAGATCATGTCAAATAGTAATTTCCCTGCGAGACCTTCATGGTGATCATAAGTCCTGTCAATACTCTCCCTGCATCTTTTAAAACCCAGTGTTAAAAGTTTGACTATCAGTTGTCGACATTTATCACGGACGTACATGTAATGACATTATCAGGTAATGCTTGTCGAGTCTGATATGCATTTTTCGTATATAAAAGATAAGACACTTGTCCGCAGTAGGCATTTGAATAGTGCTAAAGATAAAAAAAAAATGGTATGTAAAGGATTTTTAATTACAGATTTTGAAGTTGAGAACATAAGCCTACATACACTGCAGATTGACACTAGCTGAAATAGCTAATCCGCATTAACTCGTTTGAGGAGGCACATAAGTCTAGTGGTAGGATGCCGTGCTCGTGACTGAATAGTCGCGGGTTCGACCCGGCACTGTGTTGAATCGATGAGCAAGATACTTTACTCCGTTCGTTCCAGTCTATTCAGTTGTCACTGAGTACGTGGTTAGGCAGTGCTATAACTGTTGAATGCTACCTCTGAGCGCCGAAATGGCAGCAGCGGCTGTATGCTCCCTAGGGAGTTTAGATAGATATTAGCTGTCTGCAAAGGCCCTATAACCACAGACAATAATCTGTGAACAGCTTTGAGACGACCTACGAACTAGGTTGTATTGAAGCGGTAAATAAGAACCTCAAATGTTAAATCCTCTAGTAAAGAAAAATTCAATATTTCTTCAAACATAGTCTTCATTTAACATAATTTTCACTGTTTACTTAAAAATAAAGTACAATCATATTGCAGCCTCCCAAAACACACATGCATACACTAACGCATGCATCATGCACACAGGGAAGGTTGTCCTTAAACTACCATAGCTGTTGATAGGACGTTAAACAATATTAAACCAAACCAAACAAAATATAAAGGGACATATAAATGGGACATCTTGGTGTAAAAAACATGTTTCTGGTAGTAACGATATAATCTTTCCAACTGTTTGTTGTATAAAAGGTTTATTCAAATGTCTACTCCGTCTTTGCGTATTGCAGAGTTATCTTCTCTTGGGAGCAGGAATTGATTGTTACGTCAATGGTTTGTGTGAGAAAATTACGTCGTTTTCTCAAAAAATTGGTGACGTTACTCTCACAAACAAGTGACGTAACAATCAATACCTGCTCCCAAGAGAAGACAACTCTGCATTACGCAAAGACGTTATAGGTATGGATATAGATCAGGTCAGAAATGGTAATTCTATTTATACGACATTTGCGCTTACCAATCGTTTTCATTTTGTTTTTTCTACATAGGAGAGGAGTGTGTGTATGATGGCAACTCGTATCCTCCTAAAGAAACGTTCGATTCCATAGACGGAACAAATACATGCACATGCAAGACTGGTGGGTCGGTGACGTGTACTGAGGAGTCCTTACCGTCGTCAGTCAGCGAATTTTGTAATTAATTATTCCATGGAGCGACCAACTATTAGTCTTTTTTGTCTGAATAAAGAGATTTGTTTATTTCATCGGAGTTGTGTATGGTGTTGTATATTCTATATTATTTTAATTATATATATCTAAAGCGACAATCTTGTCGATAGTTTACAAAAAGTACAATCCTCGTATTCAAGAGGCTATGCAAAGTACTCATCACCACAGGGATATGGAATGACAGATTTGAAGGCACGGAGACAGCTATTTTATTGGTCCCATATAGAACAATGACCAATCGCTAGGCTGACACCTGTCCTTTAAAGATTACAAAGGAGCGACCCCCGACTTCAAAGCCAATTAATTTTACAGTTGCGCTTCCGCCCGATTCTTTGATATACACCTAGATTAGCATAGAGTGCCTTCAAGTTTTGTTTATGGCTTATGGCTTTCTCAGGGCTGCAGAGAGCGTAAGTGGGGATAACACTTTGAATTGTGATGATAAATAAATGCTAAAAACCATATAACATATCATCAGAAAACATTCCTGTAAAGAAAAATGAAAAAGAGAAAAAAAGAAATTAAAATGCTTGACCCCAACAGATATCACGGCTACGATTAAACAATGGAATATAAATTAATTTTTCATTAGATATTTTCCAAATGTTTAACAATAAATGACAATTTTGAAACATTGTCTTCTGGCTCATACACACACAACGGAAGGAATGTCAGGAAACACAGCACTTTACTTCATGTGATAACATATTCTATCTGAAACTCTTGACAACATGACTGCAGACCCCGTCTCGCTTGATGATACCAGTCGCGGTGCAAGACGAAACATTAGATAATTCCACTCTCCTGATTTTCCCCTTTGATATAGATGTAGCGCAGTTGGGTCCAGGGTCCGAATCCTTTAATAACCCTGGTGTATTCCTACGCACAGAACACTGTTGTTGATAATATTTTGTTCAATCTCATTTTTTTCCTAAAACCCCCCAAGTATAGTTACTTTTCAGAAATTATTTCTCAAAGTCAAGTAGATGTAATGCTTACAAAAAATCCATAACTACAATTGTTGGCAGTGTTACATGTGTATGCATGGAATCCCTAAATTCAGCATGTTTTAGATAATTTCATATAATTTCAATAATCTTTTGATAAACACAAATCGAGGTTCTTACAAACCGCTTCATCACGACCTCATTCTCAATTCTATGCCGTTTATTGCTTATATTTATATTTCCGTAATGAGAATTCGCAAAAAAAATATTTATGTCTTTTCCAAATTTCAAATTTCCCGCTTATTACCGTCAGGTCATGTCAATATCTAGAACGTAAAATTGTTTGTTGATCACACAGACACGTGAGACAGGCAGCTGGCGTTCGGGATCAAAGTCGAGAGGTTCGGTAGTTACACTGTTAAGTCGCTCGGAGGTGCAAAGACCAACTTCAGTTATACTCTCATAAGATGAAGCTGCTATTGGTAGTACTTCAGTAGTAATATAGAAGGGCTTTGCCACATGTAAAAATAAATTATTATCCGTGGTTGTAGGGCCTTTGCAACCAGCCAATATATTTCTCAACTCTTTGGGGAGCATACAGCCGGTGCTGCCATTTCGGCGATCACAGCTAGCATTCAACAATTCTTGCCCTGTAGTACTCACTTACAGCTGAGTAGACTGGAAAAAGCGGAGTAAAGTATCTTGCTCAAAGATACAACAAAGTGCCGTGACGTGACTAGAACGCGCAAACCCTTTGGTCAGGAACCCGATGTGATCTGTGATAAAGCAGAAACAAATCACTGGTTGTAGTAAATACACCCGACAAATACTAAAAAACATCACATTTTTGAAGCTTATGTCATAACTGCTCAAATGCTATTTTGAAATTATTAAAAGTTATGAAGTTAGCTTGTAAGTTCGACATCATAATTTTGACTTAGCCATTTTAACACATCATCAATACAGATATATCTGGCAGGACTGACATTTGAATTTATAGATATGCATGTATCTTAATAGTGCGTTAAAATTAACTTTAGGTAATTCTGCTTACTGACATCTGACATTCAAGATATCCTTTAATATACCCTGAACCATGACTTAAGGTTCAACAAGCCCTTAATAGATGATGCAGTCGCCTAAAATGTTTAACCCCTGATAAGTAATATTCAAAGACCTCAAATAAAAAACTTATATGTTCCAATTTTTCTATATTGAACGTGTTTATTGTCTATACAAAAAGTACATAGCGAGGCTAACGTTGTCGAAAATAATGCATTTAGGCTGATGCCTTTTATAAAAATAGCTCACTGGACTTATACCATGTCAATCTCTTTAGCGACCCACCTGAATTCTAAGAAATGGCATACAATTTATAGTTAATCTATATACGCGGAGCTTAATCGCTTTTCTTCTAGCAGTCGAGAGGAAGTCCAACCTAAACGAAAGATAGATATTGCCGTGCGAAACCACTAAAATCATAGTATAGTTCCCTGGTTATATATTTTAACAGATTATGAATAAGGAAACAGAGCTATTAGTTATTAACTTTGATCGATAAATGAACTATAGAGGATGTACCATTTGATAACATTCTGTGATTACATGAATGCGCTAGACATGCTATAAACATTGAAGCTGAAAAGTACGGTAATGTTTACAAAATGTCTAGCTGTTTTTATAACAACATTAAATGTTAAGGAAGGACACCTCATATGAAGTTTGTAGTCATATATCAATTGTTTTACACATATATAATCAGTAAAATATGTGACTCGGACGTTTCAATGGGAATTTTGTACACTCCCTTAGCAACAATTATTTTGAGGCCGGTATGCCTCTCCACACCTAGCTAAAGAGAAATTAAGCCCTGCATGACCTAGGACTATAAATGAACTTCAAACAATGTGTAAGCTCGTAGCATTCACTTTGGTCGCTAAAGATATTGACATGTTATAAATCCAGTGAGCTTTATTTACTAAGACATCAGCCATAATGCTTTATTCTTTATTAAGTCAACCTGGTAATGTACCTTTTCCAATAACTTATGTACAAGTTCAATATGCTTACACTACATATATATATTCCGTTTTCTAATAATGATATTCGAATATGACACAATGAGTTGAAGGGGTTGACATTTAGGTGTACAACTACATCTTTTCGAGGACTCAATGAACCTGAACCGACATCAAACTTTAAAGATACATGCAGAGTGTAAATAATAGCGAAACCTAAAGCGGGGAATGCTTATTTTTCTCCCGCAGCAAATACAAAAGAAAATTTCATAAAATAGAAACGTTGAATTCATATTTCCAGTAAATCGTAGTTATCTTTCACGATCTGCTATTGTTGATGTGACTTCATACAAATGCACAATGGTAATGACAGGGGACTTTTTACGTCTTTCCTCTAGGGTAAGACAGAAATATCCTTCCCTGACCGAAAATGTGGATGTTGCCGTCTAATGGAGGCGAGTAAAAAAAAAAACTTTCTCTGAACAGAAGTGGGGACATTACTCTCTAATGACGGAGAATAAAAATATCCACCAAAAGGACTAGTGTCCAGAACCTTGTATTTTTATATAACGAACATAAGTGTTACAAATTGGTAAAAGCTACAGAATGTCAAAAACGAGATACGTTGTATCACGCAGACGTTTCTCCGTTCTATGTCTCATCGGGTAATTTATAAGGACAAAAATGCGGAAATTCAAATTGATCTTAACTGCTGTAGAAACAAAAAGGAAGGTGCATAAAACCGCATGATTTACGAACTTCAATATTAAGAGAAGTACCGGTAAATTTTATGCATTAAGTGACTTTAGTTTGTCAGTTGACAGGTAGGCCACAACAGGTTTGTGTGTGGCATGTTCGTCACCTACAGGTAAGCTGATGAATAAAGTATTTTGTGTAGAATTTGAAATCACGGTCGTCCGGTTAAGGCAGGCGTTCGGCCATGTGTATACATACGTTATATTTTAGACATAGTGCAATTACGACATGTTGTTCATATCTTAAACTTTCGGATCTTCGTGAACTATTGTATATGATAATTTTGTTTATTATGGAGATATATGGATATTACCAAGTTAATACAAGATAAATGATAAAAAATAACCAGCTGCCTAAAAATGTGATACACTTGTAAGAGTTATATTCATCGTTCTGCGACAATGCACTTGTCCCTGAATGCAAACCAGGTCCCAATACTTAACGTTGTTCTGCGTCAAGATGAAAGGATTTTATATTAAACGTAATTAGATTTACACGTTTATTAACATGATACTTTACATTAATAAAGTGACCAGTATAACCTATCATGTATTAATCAAAACTACACAAAGTGTGTTGCCAATTTGTTTTGAATTTTTATGAAATGCAGAACTTTGGAGAAAGAAACAATGACAAAGTTAATGAATGCATTTAACCGCAAACCTGGTGGGACAGACACTAACTTACATCCTGCACTTTTGATTTGAGCTGAAGTTGAGATTATGTGCTACCTCCCAACTGTGATTTTGTATTAGAGTTATGGTTATATTCTTCCTTGCGAATAAGTGATTTGTGAAAAAAGGTAATGTTACATGCTACCTTAAGCATTATACCTGTGATTTGTGTTGGAGTTGAGGCTATATATTACCTTGCATTGTACCTGTGATTTGTGTTTAGAGTTAGGGCTATATGTTACCTTACATTATGCCTGTGATTTGTGTTAGAGTTAAGGCTATATGTTACCTTACATTGTACCTGTAATTTGTGTTGGAGTTGAGGCTATATATTACCTTACATTGTACCTGTGATTTGTGTTTACAGTTAGGGCTATATGTTACCTTGCATTATACCTGTGATTTGTGTTAGAGTTACGGTTATATGTTACCTTGCATTGTACCTGTGATTTGTGTTAGAGTTAGAGCTATATGTTACCTTACATTGTACCTGTGATTTGTGTTAGAGTGAAGGCTATATGTTACCTTACATTGTACCTGTGATTTGTGTTGGAGTTGAGGCTATATATTACCTTGCATTGTACCTGTGATTTGTGTTGGAGTTGAGGCTATATATTACCTTGCATTGTACCTGTGATTTGTG